GTAGTAGTAGTAGTAGTAGTAGTAGTAGTAGTAGTAGTAGTAGTAGTAGTAGTAAACACCACACACACATGCCGGGCACCTGGAAGACTGAAGACCACGAAGAGCTCCTCCATGTTCTGCACGCCGTCGTACCTGGGCAGTAGTAGTAGTAGTAGTAGTAGTAGTAGTGGTAGTGGCAGTAGCAGTAGCAGTAGCAGTAGTAGTGGTAGTGGTAGTGGTAGTAGTAGTAGTAGTAGTAGTAGTCGTAGTAGTGGTAGTAGTAGTAGTAGTAATGGTAGTGGTACTAATAGTATAGTCGGAGTAGTAGTCGCCGTAGTAGTAGTTGTAGTGGTCGTCCTCGTCGCCGTCGCCGTCGTCGTCGTCGTCATCGTCGTCGTCGTAGTAGTAGTAGTCTAGTAGTAGTAGTATAGTAGTAGTAGCAGCAGTGGTAGTAGTAGCCGCAGTATTTATCAGATGTATGATACAGAGGCATCTGTCTTGGGTTTTCCTCATCGGTTTTTAATGTATCAATGTAAGACCTACTGAAATATAGCTTTTGCTTCCAACGTTTTTGGACGGATCTCACGTCTTCCACGGGCCACCGGGCATGCCCGTGCACAGGGTCATGTACCTCTGACAGGCGCCAACAGAAAACAAAGTCATATAGAGGCTGGGCTTGGCCGCCTCACAATGTACTTCGTCAACTGCCACTGCACGAAAGAACAAAAGATTGTCTCAGCTCCTTTTTGGCTTCAACTCGGAATTGGATCTGAAGATCATTTCAGCCAAAATGCAAGGTTGTCCTCAGTCGATCACCGTGTTGGACGACACTTTTTCTTGAGCCCGGGGAGGTGGGCCAAACGTGAAACGTATGTGTGTCTGTGTGTGTAGGAGGGCACAGCCAAACAGAAAAATCCATGCGCATCACATCGCATTACAGCTTTTTCACAAACCCCTGGCAGCCCTGGCAGGGCAGAATGACCTAAGACCGAATGGCCTATAGTGCACCTTTGGCCAAATGAGATTGCCAATGGGGCGTCTGAAGGAGGATTCGCACAACTCAAGTTTGGAACACACGCACATTGCACAGCTGAAAGCGGGGATATATCTTGCAACGCACGAATGCAATCAAGGCTCAACAGCCAACCGTGCGCCGCTGATGGCTTCCGGCTTTCGCAGCCGACATGGAATCTCCTGAGCCGCTCGGTACCACCAAGTGGATGTGCAAAACAATGCTCACAGGCGGGAGCGTTTGATGGCAGGGCTTCCAGACGCTTGGCTTCGAATGTGAAAAAGCCCAGCCTCCAAGATCAAAACTACAGGTCATCACCAGAGTCTGATTTGTCGCTCTTGTCGTCGCTGTCGCCGCCTTCAGACGGCTCTGGAGGGTCTTCCTGAGGTTGAGGCACGGCCGGCGCTGCCTGGTTCTGATTTGGTGCCTGCGTCTCAGCACCTGGTGCCTGTGTCTCAGCACCTGGTGCCTGCTGCTCAGCACTTGGTGAACCGGATCCGTCCAAATGGCGTCGGTAAAAGCGATCATCATTAGCATCAAGGACATGCCTGGCCAACTCGGTGAGCATTACCTCCATCAATAGTTTCTTATGGAGGGGGCTGCGAACCACCACCAAAACGGGAACACGAAGCCGGACGCAAAGCAAAGGCAGGCGCCCAGCACCAGGAGTCATCAAAATCACCCGGGCAGGGTCCCAAATTGTGTGGAGCATCATCTTGTAGGTGACTTCACACCTCGTCAGACGATGGGAATTGAAGCAATCGAAGCTGGAGGAAAAGCAAAGCGATACCCCGCCTCTCGAATAGGCTCATGGCCACCAAATCAGTCTCTGCCATATCGCTTTCGAAATGTTCATCTTTCTCTGTAAGCAGCTGTCTCTTGGCGACACTAGGCATGAGCTGCATCTTTTGCGACTTCCGAATTTTTGGCAGACTGCCAGGCAAGGGCAATGGAATCACGATGGCTGACACTGCGGTTGTTTCAAAGCAACCAGCTACACGAAGATATTTGTGTTCCCTGCACTCGAGCGGGCCCTTCTCTGCCTTCCGCCCAAACAGAAAGGTTTCTTTGCCTGAAACGGCCTGGAGATCTCCAGCTGCCATGGTTTTGCGTCTCTTTTGCGCAGACTCATCAGACCTCAAGCCAAGAAAAGACCTCTCACGATGTGAAGCATGCTTGGACAAAATTTGCATTAATTTAGATGATATCAAAAGGCGGAAGCCAGCTTAAGCGAACCAAGCCACTGCCTTTTCTTCCCGAAATCCTTACGAAATTGCAAGGATTCCTGATTTGGAATAAAGGACATACTCTGCAATGCGACGCTGGTGCCCTTGCGGATCTCAGACAAAGCCTTTGGCAAACCAGAATCAAAGGTGCAAAAGACATCTGCGGGGCTAGCAAGGGAATCAAAGAGGTTCGCGAAAGTCTGGTAAGCACCTTTGTGAAACCTCAGTGGGCAACGCCGCTGCCAAGCTCAATCAAGGGCAACAATGAAGCAAAGGAAAACTAGATTAGCCTCGAAACACTGGCGATTTTGTAAAAGGGTTGATCCACCTGTTGAAATGCCCTGCTGGCTCCACTATGAGCGCTGAATCAAAGAACCAAGCCTTTGAAGCATCTCCCTGCAGGAGGCTTGGAAAATGAAACTGCAAAAGGGAACACGCAATGTGCTATCACATCATGTTACAGTGCCATTGCGATCTTTAGCCTCTGCTGACAGGAAAAGGCCTGAAGGATCTTGTGGTGCTGCAGCCCATCCATTAATGCTTGCTTGCCCGCTGAGTCATCCAAATTGCCCTGCAAAAAGTGGACGTAGTACTCGATCTCTTCCTGGCTCAGAAAGGGTGGTAGGCAGCATGACATATGATTTGCTTCTGGCAGCGCTGATGCTATCTGTCCTTGGCTGCTTCCTGCGCAGCTGCCTTTTTCTTGGCAGCAGGGTCCACAGGCGTAGGTGTTGGCTCTGCATCGTCTTCCTGTTGTTCCTCATCACATGGAGCACTCTCTTCCACAGCGGTGTTAGGAGTTCTCTTGTTCAATGCCATCTTGTGCTTGTCAATGACTGTCTGGAGCAATTTCGCAACCTCAGGGTGATCTTCCTTTTGGCCAGTAGTGATGGCAGCCATCAGCTGCCGGTCATGAGTTCCGACAAGGAACTCGCGTGCCAGTTGAGCGGTAAGCATGTGGTGTTCTTCAGCTAAGCCAACTACATTGTGGTCTGAATCAGAGAACTCACGCGGGTTCATGGCGCCAGAAATGTAGGATTTGATCTCGTCCGGAAGCTCTAAAGATACCAGACGCTGAAGCAGCCTGTACTTCAGCTGAAGCATTTGCGTCACCTGACACAAAAAAGGTTGCCTTTTAGCGGAGCTGGGCACAAGGGAAGGGCGAGAAAACAAGTCGGGTCGCTGGCCTCCACAGCTTGATCTCGTGTCAATTGCCGCATGTTCAAGTCTGTGATCACCCGGAAGCGGCTACCAGTTGGCCGCATTGTTTCACAAATGAATTCCATGACGAAGCGAAATTCTTCGCTGGATCTCAACATGCCACTCCTTGGTGCATCATGCGGCCAAGCTGGCACCAAATTGAAGCAATGAAGATACAGCAAACACCCATAATAGCTAAAATCTTAAGACCCAGGTCCGAGGCGCACTCGGGTCACAATCGCCCATCTTGAGACCCAGGTCCGAGCCCCATCAATCACCTGCACACCCTGCAACTGCGCAAGCATGTTTGCCTTACTGGCTTTCTCGTAAAGGCTCAACAGTTTCTGAATCTGGTCAGGCGATTTCAATTTGGTTTCTTCAGTAGATGAATGGATGTTGCTCTGCAGCAACTTGAGGATATCTTCGTGAGTTGCCCGCTTGTGCTCACTGAGGAGCAAAGATCGCAGCCTCGGATTCTCACGAGCTTGCCAAACATGTGAGCACGCAACTTATTACGCCACCACAAAAACACGACAAGGGGAGACATTGCGCAGGCAAATCGCTGCACCAACCGCTGGGCAAAAAGTAGAGGTAAGACATTGCCGGCTTCCATCACCTTTTGCGAAACATCCTCCCCCATCTGAAGCACACGTAGCATCATGTTGTCACCTTCATGGATCCTAGTCACGATGAAACTGACTGACAAGCTCAGGCCCTTGTACTTGTCGCAAAGCTCTTGGTCCTATCAAACGACAAAGGAAATTCATACATGAAGCGCAAGGAGAGAAGGGGTTGAATGAATGTCGGATACAACTTGCACTTGTTTGACTTCCGTCCTTTGGGGGCGTGTCATCCTCATCGTCCCCAGAGGGCTTAAAACCCCAGCTCATAGCCTATGAAAGCAGAAAGGACATGAACTTGGTGCAGTCTTCTGCAATCTGCAACTGGCCACGTTCTGTGGTTTCAGAGGCATAGGTTGTGATCATCAGCACATCAGTCGCCATGACGCGATCTTTGCTCCACCAATACGCGGCGCTATCCAAAAGCTGGGGCACACTGGGGTAGGTCATGCCGTTGCCTGGTGAAACTGTCATGGCAACATCGCTCATCAGCCCTGTGTGATAGGAAACCTTGGCGACGCGACGCCAACTCTGGCAAGAGGAGCTGGGCCCAAAGAAAATGAAGTATCAAACAAATGCATCAAATGTCATGAGGAAGTGCCTCGTCTTGCGTGCTCCATTTGCACTAGAATAGAAGCGCTGCTGAGGCACTTTGTCCACCTTTGATCCATTCCACCCTCGCGGAAAAAACGGCGCCCCAGGATTTGCCACAGCTTTGGACGCATCTGTGACGTATTGGCGGCGGACCCGCAGAAATTCAATCGCTCTTTGGACCCTAGGTTGCAACAGGAAAGCATACAACGCAAAAGAGAGGTACTACCTAAGACAGAACGCCTGTGGACTCGACAAGAAACACATCAATGCCATCTCGAACGTGAGCAGCGTGCTCTGCCTCAGTATCTACTGCAATCGGCGAAGCCTTGGCCTTGGCTGGCGAACTCTTGGCCTTGGATCTTCCCATGGCTCAGCTGCTCACACACACACACACCTGCAAACGCTTCAAAAAAAGGCCCTAATGGCAGCAAGTCAGAATGCAACAGTTGATTATCCATGGCAGCCGGATGCCGAGGCAAGGGAAATGCCAAATCTACAATGATAATGAACAGCCGCTAGACAATGAACGCAAGCGGTTCTTTGGATCTGGCCGCTTGACCGGTAGCAGGAGTTCTGCGGGCGTGATGACCAAGCTCACTCCTTGTCCTTCTTCTGCTTCTTGACGGGAGCAAACTGGCGCAGCAAGTGTCAACAGTACGGAACCCGTTAATGAAACAACAGGTCAGCGGCATATTCCCGCCTCATGTTTGCACTGAGGGCAGGTGACTTTCTTGGGCGCCGCCTTTTGTTTGCCAGCTTTGGCATCCCTGTTCCACAATCGCTTAGCCAGTTTCACCCGGTAGGCCCCATCCACCAAATCCCAAGCCCCGCCACGCGTCAAGTTCCCTGGCTTTTGCCCCGGAAACCCCAGGCTCTTGAGAAATGTATCCACCCCGCAAGGCATGGGCTTATCGCATTTGCTGGTTGCCAAAAACCAAAATTGGCAGCAGTTCTTTGCAGGAAATCCGATTGGAAGGCGGGGGTCGATCATAGTGGCCTGGCTGGCGCGCAGAACTTGCAAAATCAAACATAGTTCAAAACGGAAAACAGCCTTGTGGCGGACGGCCAACTTCTTTGAAGTCACATCCTGGATGTTGTCATTTTGCCAGAGAGGCCCTGGCACCAAGCAATAATGACACATCAGTCATTACGGGAGAAAAGCACCTGTCCTGGCACATCTCCTTTCCAGTCATCTGTGGACCCACCAGCCCAAATCAAAGCCATATGCGTGGAGGTGGCACCTGAGCCACACTGACAACAGGGCATCCAAGCACATGTAATCCACCACAGGAACCCAAACGCATTTGGCGCTTGCTGAAATTAGTTTGATGGAAGGGGGCCTATCAGCTAGACAGGTTCGCTAACAACCAAACCTGGGTTGCATTGCTGGGTTTCCGTTGCTCTTGGCAGCCTCTGCCCCAGCCTTGAACACGAAAAGTTTGTGCGACTGGGGCCCTAGCCTACACCCAAATCCTTTGCAAAGGACAAAAGGGGAAGCTTCCTGCGATAAGCTTAGCTATGGGACCATGCGGCAGTGTGCCACTTCACTCAATGACTTGAGGACAACCTCTTTTCTTTTTCATGATTCAGAAGCTACAAATAAGAACGGCTCTTTGGGTGATGGCAATGTGCAGGGGAGACCGAGCTCACAAAGAATGGTGGGCTCTGGAGCTCGTGAAACTGCGGCCCTGGTATGTGGCAGGCTAAGAAGAGTGACCCCAACCAATATACTGGCGTAGTAAAAAAGGGAATCTGCTTTCGAAAAAAAACCGTGAGCAAAATTGTTTCTAGCACTAGCGCTGGGGCAAGGCACAAGGTATGAAAATGCTTGTCGAGCCAGTGCCGGGCAACACAAAGACATCGATGCTGTCAAAACTCCATCCTTCAGGCCTGCGCTGCAAGAAAAGGAATAAAGGAAACGATGCCGCTTCCCTGCCTGGATGCACCGGTGCCCCAAGCAAACTTGGTCAAGACCTTGCACAAATTTGGACATCCGCCATCACTGGCCTCAACCTTTGTTTCTTCACCCTTTTTGCGCTTGGGGATCACCGCGCCCATTCGTAGGCGCAAACTGCGCTCCGATTTCTGCAGGCCCAACCACTCCTGGAGCAGCGCTTCCACATGCGAATTTTGCAGTGAATGACTGGAAGTCAGAAAGCTTTGGACAGACTTGGCCGGCAAGTCCACGAGCTTGCGTGCACCTGATGGCGTCATGATCTTATACAGGAAAGAATCTGACACACTCTGGGAATGACTTCTTGCTGGGACGCTTGCGTGGGCCAGGTTTGGGCCGGTCTTCTCCAAGCAAAACTTGTCCCAAAGCCTTCTGCTCAGCAAGCGACATGTTGGAATCAAAATGGCGACTGGCAGCGCAAACCTTTGAGTCAGGCTTGGAAATCTGCGGCACAAGCAACATGAGCACAAATATTTAGAAATCATTTAAACTAATTGCTCACTGCGTCCTCCGGGGGGAACGCGTCTACAAATCCCGGCCCCGGGCAGGAATGTTTGGTTGCATTAATGGTGGACAAGACATTTAAACAAATACGCCTACAAGTTGGTGTGTGAAAAGCCTTGAACCTGTCTGTAAATGCATCGCCAGGGAAGAAAGCAAGGAGCTGCATCGGCCCTGGGCAGGTATGGGAGAATGGGTACTGCGCAGGAAAAGCGAGGAAGCGGTCATTCGTCACATGCCGACTTTTTTCAGTTCAAGTTCATCGACATGTCTTGAACCATGCTCACAGAGATCCTGCGTAGCCTTGTGCATGCACGTCCCCTGCATACATTGTCAATAGCTACCCCTAACAAAACACCCCGACGAATTGCCATTGGGTGCACCCGTCGGCCCCATCAGCTTCTCAAGACGTCCACCTAGGTTGGCATAAACTCTAATAGGCAACTATTTTAAACTACTTGCAGGGTGGTTTTAAGCTTCTGGCTGAGAAATGCGGTGCAAGAAATCATTGTAGTCCATGGCTATGCCTTTGCGAGCTTTGTCGATGGTCTTCTTGTCCTTCTTCTTGACTCGTTGGGATTTCTCTGAAGCATACACTGCCCAAGAAGTTTTCTTACGCCTTGCAAGCCACAAAGCGGTATCATGAAGCTGTTTTCAAGACAAATGTGGGAAGGATGAGAGGCATCTGAAACACACGCTTACGAAAGGACCCGTAAGGACTCTTATGGGTCTCTTGGTTTAGGCTTAAAATTGGGGTGGCTCTGCAGGACAATGCAGTGAAGCTTTCTATGCGCTTTAGGTTTCTGTGGCTGCTGGTTCTTCATAGCAACAGATCCGGAGCCCCTGACAGCTTTTTGCGGCAGCCCTGCACCACCCAACGTGTCTCACCGGACATCTCGGGGTCTTTGGCAGCGGCGACTATCAAGCTGAGAAGCAGCGGCTTTTGGGGTATGGACTCATGTAGGCAGAGCTCCAAAGGCAAACGCAAGGCATTTTTGATGCGGAGCACTGGCTCAAGGATCTTGTCCGGCTTGCAAAAAGAAAGCCACTCAGGACCAGCAACGTGACCGCCAAACAAGCGCGAAGCAATCAAAACACCAGATAGGTCAGAGCTCGGGTTGTGAGGATCTATGAAACTTGTCTCTTCTGCGCAAGTCGGGGCGAACCAAATGAGGTGCCGAGCTCGTAGCAAATCTGGGGCCATAGATCCGTCTTTTGCAAAGGTCACCACTGTCAAACCCAGTTTTTTCTCCATCAGGTCGCGCTGTGTACTCGTCATCATCGACTCGCTGCCCTCCCCTCGCACAGAGACAACGAGGCATAGCTCAGGCTGCAAGAAACATTGCTGCTCCAACTTGATCTGCAAATCCATTCGCTGCAGCTGTGGCGCGGCTGCAGCCTTGTCCTTGTCGGCTTTGAGCTTGGCACAAGCCTCCGTGTCTCCAGCGCTCAACGCCTCTAGGAGCTTTTGTTTCTTTTGGGCTTTTTCTTGCACGGTCTTGGAATAGGATGCAAACTCCTTTCGCTTCCTACCGCATTCTGCCTCTGCTAGAGCAAACTTTTCAAACTCTGCGGCCTTGTCGCGCTCCTGCGATGAAGCCTGCAGCCCTGCTTTTTGAATTTCATGCTCTCGTCGACGCAGGAAAGCTTGCAAGCCCTTATTGCGACACCCCCGCTTGCCAGTCTCACGTCTCGGCAGGCTTGTTTGGCGCCGCAAAGGCTTTGACCCGAAAAGCTTCCGGTAAACAAATTGAGCCTGGCGCGCTGTCTTGCTGCTCTCATATTGGCCAGAACGATGAGGAGCAATAGCGTCCGGCTGTGGCCCATCAAGAAGGACTTTCATCAGGTTCTTGACGTTGGAATCTTTGGTGGTGCTCTTCTGCTTCTGGGTAAGCAGCCTGTAATAGGATAAGTTCTGCTCAATCTCGCAAGAGGATTCCCATATGCAATTGATGAATGCAACCTAGGGCGCGAACAGAAGCCGACTGAAACAAACACAAAGGGGAACCTGTGACGGTTGAGGCCCTGGCAGCTTTGGCCAAGGCGGGCAGACGCTTGGAGCCCCAGCGCTGCATAGTTTTTGACCAATACTCCTCCGGATCATGGAAGCCGCGCCTGCAGTGCATCTAAAACAAATGAACTGCGCTGGCAGGCGAGAGGGAAGCAGCCTGATCAGTTCTTTGGCGGTGGGACGCGCCAGGATCAACTCGTTCGCCAATTTCGCGGCCTCCCATGAGATTTGTCTAAACACCTTTGCGTTGGCTTAGGTGTCAAGTATGGGGCCCAGCCTCCAATTCACACGCTTCCGCTACTGGTTTCAATATGTCTGGCCTTACGGGAGCAAGCATAGGGGGAAAACATCGAGGCAAAACTAGCAATCTTGGCATGATTGACATGCTAGGGCGCAGGCAAAGCCCCATCGTTACGGTTGTGTTCATGCCATCGGTCGACATCAAATGGTTCAAGTCCAGAACCCAAACCAGAACGATGCTCAGCCAAACAACCTTGGAGGAACAGGTCCTGCAAGTTGAACATCCGCCCCAGCAAAGTTGCAATTTGCTTCTTTAGGTCGACATTGAAGCCTCAGCAACAACTAGTCACGCTACACCGAAACCCAAAACAATGCTATCAAGGCGAATCTGATGGCTTGGCGTGCTGCCGGGCAACTTTCAAGATGGTAGAGGACTCTGCCATCATGGACAACAGAGAAGTTCTTGTCTCCTAAACAGTTGCTGTGGTTAATAATACTCACTGAGTCTCACTGACATGGACCTGCTAACATTCAAACCCACAAATTCAATGCGCAACGCGGGCAAGCTTCCAAGCTGCAATGCTTGGGCGACGATTTGGACATATCCGGTTGTAAAAGAAGGGTCGAGTACAAGTGGCACCTGCTTCTGTCCTGACAGATCCTTGAAAGCAAACATGCGATTCAAGCGCTGCCTCACAGAATCCGCACGTTCAGCCGCCTGCACAATGCGTCGCACTGCGCCACCTTTGGGCCTAGAACCTGACCCGCACGAGCCACCCTTGTTGTCCCAGGAGTGCGTATAGCACTGCGTAATGGAAAGGAACTCTGTGGTGAGGGCTAAGAGCAGAATGTTCTCGAGCGAGAAGACCTGCAAAAACAACACGCAGTCACGCATCATTTTGCGAAGCACGAAATGGGGCTGGCCTTCAACAATTTCTGCGCCCATGCGCCGGTCTCCTTGTCAGTCTCAACTGAGGCACGGCACAGAAATCGTAAAAGCTCTGAAAGCCTCAGCACGGTCATACGGAGAACGTCCAGCATAGAGTCCCATCTCTGAGCTGCGTAAGTGGGCGTTGTCAAGGTATGCTGGGATAGTTCAACTATGCTGCCAACGTCCTTCGCAACTTCCTCCTTGAACATCCCCGCCAATCTGTGGGAATTCTTAAGACCACGGGCGAGGCTTCCTTTGTCTTTGTTGGAAGCAAATCTGCAGACCAAGTCATCCAACAAAGCAGCTACACGGCTATCTGTGCGCATCACCGATTCCACGGTCTTCTGGGCAGCGTGCGCATAGCAACGAATGACTGCTGACAATGAAGGGAGGACGCCCTCTGCCTGGCTAGGAAAGTAGCAGAAATTAAGTTCATTCACTCAACAACACAAAAGCTTCTGGGAACAACGCCCTTTGGGATGAACTGTGGGAGCTACCAAGATCGTTGGAATCAAATCAAAACAAGTCAAGCTTTCATTGACTGCTCGGCTGACGTGCAAACTGCGGGGAGGCACCAGGGCATAGCGTGGACAAAGTTGTTCAGCAGCCTCACCATCAGCAGTGAATACCTGTCATGCGCTCTGGGCTCTGGAAAGAACATTTGGTGCGACAGCGCTCATGGCCGCCAGTCCTTGAAAAGCTTGCGGAGCCTTTCCAGCAAAGAGCCATCTCCCTGGCACCACTTCTGCAGCGTCTCTTCCATGTTCCGCATCTTTTGCAAAGCAGTCTGCGAACAGCGGATGATGAAATGGTTTCCATGGGCAATATTGCATCACCCTGCTTTCTTTCCATTTATCCTACTCAAATCTGCGAGGACCCGCACGACGCTGTAGTCCCGCTTGACAAATTTGAACTTTACCAAATTGTAATCGCCGCACACATCCTGAAGAGGCCAAAGTCAAGGAAAAGTGAGAATGACTCCCACTGAGGACAAAAACCACGGGGCCTCAGCCCAGCCAGCAGCAATGATCTCATCACACTTCAACAGGTGTAGTTCGTCTGCGTGCCTTGCATGTGTGAGATGCTAGGCCTGCTAGGTTTGAAGGGTTTGACTCAGTATAGGCAGCTGTAAGAAGTTCAGTGTGACAAGCTGTAGAGATCGACACCGGGCATTCCTAAAGACCAAACGACAGAGACTAGACAGAAACAATACAGGAACTGCAACAGTGTGGCCAATATTTGCAAAGAGCTGTATTATAGAGCTATTGGACAGTATGTTGTTCAGGGCATACAGCGTTGAAAGGGCACAGGCCTGTGTCACGAGGGGGCCCGCGGGTTTAATGCAAAAGCAGGAATCAAACCCTTTTTTGTTTGCCGTAAATGATACCCAGCTCTGAAAGTTCAAGCGAAAACCACTGGCACCAACATAATCCCCGGCAGAGTGGCAAAACCGAGGCAAGGCATTCAACAATTTGACAATGGACGTGTCTGCTGTTGAAGGCGCGGGGGTAGTTGTAGCAATCTGATCTTGATGCCAGCTCACACTTTCTCTCAAATTCTACACTTTGACCCCCCAAAGGACACCTAGTCACTTCCAAGCTCAAGCGTATTTGAGCTGCAGTAGGTGTGTCGCAAGGTTTGCCCTGCGCACTGTCCTCAGCGGAGGCTTCAAGAGAAGAAGATGATTCAGCAGCAGCTGCTTTCAGATGCACCTCGCACTCGCCATGTCTGACGATGTCTTCAATTTGCAAAATACCAGACTGGCCCTTGGTCATGGCAACCCATGGACTGCTGGCAGATACGATGCCTGAACTGCGAGAAGCTTCATTGCATATACGGCACCCAAGCCCCCACATTTTGTCTGGAGCGCTCTGCTGTAGCCAGGGCGCGCGCCGCTCCCATTTGTGCCGGAGCTTTAAAAATTTGCATTGATTGCAACTTTTGATTGCTTTTCTGCCGCTCCCGAAACGCTCTACGCATGCCTGAGCATGTTGACCATCGGAGCACCGCAAGGCTGAGGGCATGATGCTGGCAACGACTTGAGAAGCTTTGGCAGGCACAAAGACTGCCTCAAAGCAAAGGATCAAACTCTTTGAATTGCGTTAACATGGCACACAAAGAACCTATAGCCGCACAAGCCCATTTATCACGCTGGCCTCTGAAGACAGTGCGCTTCAGGTGGCTGACTGGCGCTTGATCGAACCCCTACCCCTATACAGATCAAGAACCGGAGCTCAGTCCACGACCACCACGAGACAAGGCAGTGTGCACCCAATCCTTCGCATGCGAATGTGCTGTCTTGGCTCCCACATGACACAAAATGTCCCGGGCCTTGAGGTCCACCGGCAGTGGTGGCATTGTTTCCCAAACATCACGCAAAGGCTCCGAAACCAAGTTCCCGGCAAGCAATAGCCGGCAAAGGATTCGTTCTAGGACTGAGATGCTGACCGCGTTCCCAAATGCATGTGCTGCTTTGGGCTTGCCAACACGTTCTATCATGGCCAGAGCGATTGGCTGTGGGACGCCTCCCAAAGCGGGAAATGCAAATCAAAGACAAGAGAATGCGTGGTTCAAACATGTTGAGGACAGGTTCCAACATGTTTCTGGAAACTTTTTGTTTGAAATTGAAAGGACCCGTAAGCACGCTTACGGGTCCCTTCGTTTTTGGCGTGTTGGCCAGGCAAACGCTGACCCTCGCAGCCTTGTAGTCGTGCAAACTCGACAGCTGAGACTCGTTGTCTTCTCCATGGTAAGTACCACGCAAACGCTTTGGCTCTTGAGCATGTTAGCGTGGGCGCTACACCCACACGGCAAACCTTGTGCTGTCCAGCTTGTGTGTCAACCATTGCGCCGACCTCACGCAAGCGAGGCCCCAGCAACTCCTGGGCCTCAGAGACCGCACCGCAACAAAAGAGTGACCTGGCAAGCATTCTGACTGAGAACCTAGAACAGTAAGTGCGAGGCAAATCTCATATTGCGGTGGAAGGTTGCTGGCTGAGAATCCTGGCCGCCAAGGCCAAGACGGCACGTTTGATTGAACAAATTGTGTGTTGACAGGCCTCCCACACCAGCGGCTCGTTTGGAAGTGGTTCATGGTTCAAGACATCGCTGAGATGAACCTGACGGGCAAACTATCTGGAATTTTGATCCCTCGTTACATTGGGGCAAGCCTGTCGTGGCAATGGCGGTGGAAAGATGTGGTCCAGATCAAACTGCGGGTTCAGAGAATCCAGCCGTATGGCAGCCAGGTAGAGGCGCAAACGGTCCTGGGGTAGGCCGTGGTCGCTTGTTGCGACCAGCCTTGCGCGCACAACCTCATTGCAATGATCTTTGAGGAGCAAGTTTCCATGTGCCTCTGGACATCCAAGGGCCCAGCGTACCCTGCAGCTCGCAAAAGTGATGTTGCTTGCAAAACATGGTGCCGGTGACGTCCACGAAACAACCCAGCCACGTTTTCACACAAAAATACCTCAGCTTCTCGGTCAAGCTAGAAGCATTCATGATCGGGCTTCTCAAAAAAGCCATTATGGGCTCAGAGCGCGCTCTTGGCATATTGGTCAGTGGGATGGCAATACCGACAGTGCACCGCAGCAGGTTCAGTACGGTGGTTCTTTTTATTTAGTACGTTGTTTTTATAAATGACTTGGCTTGTAGGTTGTTTCATTTAAGTCTTGTACTGGTAGCAGTAAGACCTTGTACCGGAAGTGGCCCAAAACGGTTGCAGTAGAACACAGTGTTTTGACCAGTACGTATAATAACCTTTTCATTTAAGTCTTGTACTGGTAGCAGCAAGACCTTGTACCGGAAGTGGCCCAAAACAGTTGCAGTAGAACACATTGTTTTAACCAGTACGTATAATAACCTTAGTGACTGTTAAACTCCCCTACCGATATACCGCTTACTGGTGAAATGGCGGGGGTATACTGGGAGGTCATTGGCCTTTGCCCCGGTATAGACCCTCCACTCCGTCAGTATGGTATTGCTTTGAAAAGTGCACTTGCTGAAAAAGCCCGGTAATGAAGGAAGCGATGGAAGGCTGACCATCTTGTTGTAGCTACCCAGGGGACCAATCGGGAAATGGACGGTGAAACCTCAGTAGATACGTCAGGGTGAGCAGCCCTGATATTTCCCCAAGCTCAAGAGTAACTTTGTTGGCAGTAGGCCCATGAGCGGGCTATTGCCCCCTGCGCAACTCTTAGCTGCTTAGCTACATGCTCTGCTTCTCGCCAGGAACTAAGCTCTAAAAACCCTTGTATCCATCAAACGAACACCAGCTTTGAACCCGGGAGTTGGATTAAAATGGTGTTCCTAGCTTGCACCCGTTTCCTGTGTCTTGAAAACCACATGAATCCTTTGTCGAAAACGCACAGAACAACAAAACAACACTCAACTGCACTGACTGCGGTCGGCGGGCACGGGGCCGCTCATCCAGAACCTTCTCAATCGCAGTGTACCACAGTTTTCCTCTCTGCCCTGCGCACCCCCTGTTCAAACCAGCGGTTGAAAAATCCTGGCAGGGTGTTGTTGCTATGTAAAGGTGATGCCGGCTTGGAGGTCGGCGCTCCATTTGTTTTGACAAACAGGCGGGCGCTTTGTTGATGCTCTGATGAACAACCCCCATCATCTGCACAACATCTGCGTCACACTCAGACACTGAGGAAATGGCAAAAGGAACCTGGAGCAAGGACAGGACAAGGGCCTTAGCCCAAAGATGCTGCAGCCACACTTGCCAAAGCAAAAAGCCAGGCCCTGGACGCCACTGTCATACCCACAGCAATCAGCGCAATAAAGGAGTTGTTTTGGAGGGCCTCGCCTCACTGTAAATGAAATTAACACCAAAAAACGCTTGCAGCTGCCAGGCTACTAAGTATTGCGCAGTCCAGGCTTTAACGCTCTCCTCGCAATGGAGGCCTGATCAGAGACTCGATAGATGCAAGGCCTCTTGGTCTTAGCACCTGCCCGACTGAAACAAAGACCGAACGAGAGCCTTTTTCTGCAGATAGGCCGGCGTCTTCATGTATTGGCCCTCGCAAACAACATGCTGCTTGGATAGTGGGTGATGAACACTTGCAGGCAACTGTGAAGTATAGAAACAAGAGCCGTTTGCAAGCCCCAGCCTCGACCCCACCAACCTCACATATGATGTTTGCAAGTATGGCGAACGATTGCCCACCACAAACATGTTTGAAGGAGCCATCATGCTGACTTTGGCTAAGGCTAAGGCACCAGGTTTGGGTGACACATTCGGCCGCGCCCATCCGCTTCTTGAGGATTGAAAGCACATTCCGCACAAGAATGCAATGAACGGCTTTGCTGACCAAACTGCGTATACTCCATGCTCGGCCCGGCTTCAAACACATCTGATTGAATGCAAAACGACATGTTGCAGATTGGAATGGGGGCACTGTGGCTTGTCCGCTCCGAACCTTGGATAAGGAAATCCGTCTACACTCTGATGGCAGCCCAAAAACACTGTCAACCTGAAGACAATTTTGCTTTTGTCCTCTCAGACCCAATCCAAGAGCAGCGCGGCACCGGGTCACGATGCAGCAAGCCTCCACCCAGACTGGAACAACATCTCTCTCTCTCTCTCGCGCTCGCTCTCTCTCTCTCTCTCTCTCTCTCTCTGCGTCTTTTTAAATTTGCATTTAGGCTCTTCAGTGCCAGTGACAGGTTCAATCATGTCTGGAAATTCTACTCTGCTCCAAAGAAAGGGAATGAAAGGACCCCTAAGCATCTTTACGGGTCCCTTCGTTTTGGTTTCCCAGAAGTGTCTTGGGGTGGGCACCGGTGAATTTCAAATTCCCCTTCACATGTCGGTTGCATCTAGCTAGACTCATGGTATTGGGAGCCGGGCGCATCCGGTGGACCTTCTCAACGCGGAAGGTTCAGGCCTACAGCAAATACGCCGCTCGAATAAAACAAACTCGGGCTCTGTCAAAACATCTACAGTGGTCCACGACACACACAAATACCTGACCATGATCCAAAAAGGTCTATGACTGTTGGGTCTCTAACAATTACTCATCCAAGCAAACCGCAAACAAACTCCTGTCTGTCACACGCTGGCCGATGTCCACTGCGCGTTTCTGGAATCAAAACCTTCAATGCTCGTGGGCTGATAGGAGGCCAAAAGACTCTTCCAAGCTTGCGTTGACCCGAAACTTGGATAAGGAAATCTGTCTACAGTCATCTGTCTACAGTCTGATGGCAGCCCAAAACACTGTCAACCTCAAGGCAATGTGGTCCTCTCAGACCACACCCAAGAGCAGCACGGCACCGGGTCACGATGCAGCAAGCCTCCACCCAGACTGGAACAACATCTCTCTCTCTCTCTCTCTCCTCTCTCTGTGCGTCTTTTTGAATTTGTTTTTAGGCTCTTCAGTGCCAGTAACAGGTTCAAACATGTTTCTGGAAGTTCTACTATGCTCCAAAGAAAGGAAATGAAAGGACCCGTAAGCATCTTTACGGGTCCCTTCGTTTTGGTTTCCCAGAGGTGTCTTGGGGTGGGCATCTGCCTCCTCTAAGCTGCATTCTCAAGGCCGGTGACTTTCAAATTCCCCTTCGCACGTCGGTTGCATCTAGCTAGACTCATGGTATTGGGAGCCGGGCGCATCCGGTGGACCTTCTCAACGAGGAAGGTTCAGGCCTACAGCAAATACGCCGCTCGGATAGAACAAACTCGGGCTCTGTCAAAACATCTACAGTGGTCCACGAGGCGCCCATATACCTGACCATGATCAAATGATCAAAAGGTGTATGACCGTCGAGTCTCCAACAAAAACTCGTCCAAACAAACCGCCAAAAAACCCGCCGCTGGCCCATGTCCACTGCACATTTCTGCAGTGAAAACCTCGAGTGCTGGTGGGCTGATAGGAGGCCAAAAGAATCTTTCAAGAGTGTCTTACCCCAAAACTTGGATAAGGAAGTCCGTTTACAGTCTGATGGCAGCCCAAAACACTTTCAACATGATGGCAGTTTAGTCCTCTCAGACCCAATCCAAGAGCAGCACAGCACCGGGTCACGATGCAGCAAACCTCCGCCCAAACTGGAACAGCATCTCTCTCTCTCTTTCTTTCTTTCTTTCTGTCTCTCTCTCTCTCTCTCGTTCTTTCTTTCTTTTTTTCTGTGTCTCTCTCTCTCTGTCTCTCTCTCTCTCTCCTCTCTCTGTGCCTGTTCCTTAAATTTGCATTTAGGCTCTTCAGTGCCGGTGACAGGTTCTACTCCGCTCTGAGAAAGCAAATGAAAGGACCCGTAAGCATCTTTACGGGTCCCTTCGTGTTTGGCATGTAAGACAGCACAGAATCTGGTGGCACTGTCAAGCATTGCATTTTTACTGAGGCGGAAGCTCCACGTTCGCCGCCATACACTGCATTGAGGGGACCTTGGCAAACACTTTTGGGTCGGATGCAGCAAGCTTGCCGGAATAAGGGGAACCTTCAATATACACAACCCATCATTCAGAAGCGTCCCGTGAGTTGGCACAAGCACATGCAAACATCCCGGTAGAGTTTTTACCGACTCTTGAAGTTTCAAACCTGATCTTCGACCAGAGCGCTGGGTCTATCAAAATTCGGAAGCAAGTTCCTGCAGCAAATTGTGGCCACACGCATCATGGAGCAATCGGCGTTTTGCCGGCTCGGGATGTAACATTGGCAAGCAAAGGTCCACCAAATCACCAGGCGCTGCTTGGATGGCCCTGTGAGGTGCTGGTGCCAACGTTTGCCACCCTGACTTGAGTGAGCCTTTCTCAAAAGCAGCAATGTCCTTGTGACTCGCAAAAACGATCATTCCAGTGGAGGCTTCCATCATCGTTGCTGCAAATGCCCATGCTTCTGTCTGGTCTGTGACCTCAAAATGTCCAACATCCTTTAAGGACTTTGAAGTTCGCCAATGCTCCGGGGCTCTGTAGGGCCCTGTGTAGCGGGCACAGGGCACACCAGGGTTGGATGTGGGCACGGCAAGAACAAAACTTGTCAAAGCAGCTGTCGCGTGGACGTGGTCCCACGAGATGTTGGCAGGCTTCAAGTCTCCATGAAAGAAACCTGCCTTCACCAGCGTCTGCCACCCAGCAACAACTTGCGCTGCTACTGCGGCAAAGTCTTTGCGATCTACTAGCGGCCCAGACTGCTCGACGAAGCTCTTCAAAGTGTGAGGGCTGTATTGGAACAGCAACCAATGGGGCCCTTGCTCCAAGATTTTCTGGAATCCAATCACGTCTTTCCTGGCCACGGCGGCATAGAAAACAAAGCCGCCATGTTTTGACATGAAATCGGAATCAGCAAATCGTACCGAACCTCAACACAAACATTCGAAGAACATGTCTTTGTGGCGGGCACCCCCACAAGAACAATGGTAGATCTACAGTGCTGCGCGATGGGCCCTGCGCCTCCTCTTCCCCACACATGCATCACATGAGGACTTATTGTATTAAAAGAGTTCTCCAACCTTACAGAAAAGCGGCGACTGATGAATACTTAGCCCCTCCTCCTAGACGTCGCCCCCAGAATAAAAAGGTATCAAACGGAACACTGCCAAATATTCAGTGGAATCGCGTGGTTTGGCTATTCACTAAGCCGGGCGTCGCCGTCACTTTCGATAGCTCGTTATGAACCCGCATCTCGTCCAGGAAGTGCTCCTGCTGGGTGAAGACCTTCGCCAGGGCCAGGCAACCGAATCGACAATGACGCGCGGGATACACGCAAGCAAAGCTGCCGCTTCCAGCGGCAAGCTGCTGAGATGTGAGCTCGTAGGAGCCCAGTCTCCAGTTCTGGGCCTCATCGCTGGCCACAGCCACAGAGCAATCCCTGTCAAGCGATCGATCTATGTGCTCGCGACGTCTCTGGAACTCGTCCTGCGACATGCCATAATAAAATTGCTTCGCCTCATCATCAAGCTCCCGCCACTCTTTCCCAATTGCGGCCACAGTCTGACGTCTGTCTCTGTCTTTCTCACCCAACACTGCAGAATAGCGAGCCTTCATGAACAAAGCGTAGGCTGATCGCGCCTTTGGTGCATTCAGCTTTGCCACGGCCACATTGCCTCGTCTCTTTGTAGACGCCGGCCGCTTCATGGCTGGGCCAAAGATTCGTGGCCAAAGAGTGAACAGTTCTTAGAAGTCTTGATCTCCAAGACGGGGTCTGGCATCTAGCGTTTTGTTGGAGAAAATAAGGCGTGCATTTGGGCAGAAGCCCATACATGTTCAGCCTATCGTCTTTGACCTGATCCTGCGGAGCCATGAAGCTCATGGAAAATCATCGAGACTCAACAAAACGGAGTGACCCAACATGTGGGAAGTTACCGGGCAGGAGGAGAATGGTACAGAAGGAACCAGGAATGGCTTTGCAGTCCCAACAGGGTCGGAAAGACATCAACAAGTTGGTTTTTGAAAGTACAACTGTCCACAGTGCCAGGCTCCCCCTTCCAACTCTTGAACGTGAGCACATCCTCTGAGTTCCCCGACTGGTTGCAAGCTGGGCAATCCAGCAAGGGCAGACTACACACTTATCTTGAGCAAGCAACTTCGACAGCATTTACCAATTGAAAAAAACAGTCTTAAAGGAAAGAGCCTAACAACCAAGAGTTCATCACCTGGCTCGGCCTCAGCGGCTTCAGGCCTCGTCGTCCATGACCGGACTTCCCCACATCGGCGCCGAGTGAAATGGTGGAACACGATCGGCACGGAGTACATTCCGTTGCTAAAGGAAATTGGGATTTTCTTCCCATCTCGAGCAATGTGTCCTCCAGTCTTGCTCATCTGGGTGGACCAACCCTTGTCGGCGAGGGCTCCTGCCGAAAGCGACGGCTTTGAGACTGCCATCGCTCGAAAGCTGCACTGCCCCGTCAGGCTCCATTGCCGATCCCAATAGTCACTGTCTCGCCTGACGCTGTCTTGTAGATCTTTGAGTTCACGCCTTCAGGCTGAACAGGCTTGTATACGCCCAACGCTGCGGCGAGTTCGACTGGGATACAGGAAGTGGCTGCGCCTGAATCCAAAGTTGCCAGCTCCAAACTCTTGAGAGCCAGTGGATCCTCCTCGCCTTCACTTGGCTCACTTGTCGGTGTTGGATCTGGCTTTCCTTTTCCTTTCTTAGCCTCACGAGCGGCATCTTGAGTTGCCAGGTTGACAGCTCGAGTCAGCTGTACTTTCTTTTGCTTCTGCTTGCCCTTCTCGCGGCCTTTCTCGGAGGCAGCCGTAACCGAAGCGGTTCGGCTCTTGCCCGGAGAGCGGGACCGGGACTTCAACCTGAGCATCTGCCGCGGCGCCTCACTTGATTCCTCCTGCTTGGCCTCTGGCTCGCGGAATCGTTCCATATGCTCCTCGGTCGAGCTCTTGAACCAGGCCATGTGCTCCTCCTTAGTCTTTCCTTTCTTCTCAGGAGGTGGAGCTGTCTTGACCACGCACCTCTGCTTTGGCGTCTTTGGGCCGAGATCGTCTTCTTCTTCCTGCTCGGCCATCATCTTCTGCATGTGGGAGGTCTCGGCGTCTGCCACATGCCGTGGGGCGTCTTTTGAGGTGGGGCTACCTCGCTGTCCCTTCGCAGTCACGATATTCTCTTTTGCTTGAGGGCCCATTCCTGAGCCCATGGATTGAGAACCTTTGGTGCGCAACAATTGATTGCCATATGGTGATTCCATAACCCTGAGTCGTTGTCGCACTTCAGGGACTTCTGACAAGCGTGGCACACCATGAACTTGCGGCCATTCTTGTCCTTGTGGGCGCACTTGGCGACCCACTCATCATAGCTGAGGACGCGCTGGTGGAACATGTGGTCGAGCCATGGCACAGCGTCATCTTTTTCCTCTTCTTCTGGTGCCTTTTCTTCCTCTTGCTCGCCATCATCGTCTTCTTGAGCTGGTCTCATCTTCCTCAGCTTCGTCTTCAAACCCTGCTCCATCAAGCCCTTCAATCTCATCCAGGGGATTGATGGTCTCCATGACTGGTGCTGTGAAGGATGGCGCACTGGTTGCTCCTTCACTTTCGCGATCGCTGCGCTTGTTCACCACGTAGTCTTTGGGGTTGAAAACTGCGGCAGTGAGGGCCTTTTCAATGACATTGCGGGCTGGATGACTTGTAGTCGTCCATTCTTGACTCTCCCGCTTCAACTCTGCCAGTTCGGTGGTGGAGAGATCTCTTTTCCTTTTGGCTTTTCAGCCTTCTCTGCCTTTGCTGGCTTCTTACTGCCACGATGCCTCTGGGCCTTCTCTCGACCTCGAGGCTGAGGTGTTTCCTCAAACTTCTCTTCATCATCTTCATCATCCCAAGCTTGAAGTCGACCAGTACCCTTGGCGTGAGCGATCTCATAGCAGTCGAGCCTCAGGGTAGTTGGCCTCGTAGTCGCGCCAAGATTCAATGCGACCTTGGGCGCTTGCAACTCGATGTTGCTCAGCACGATGGCGACTCTTCTCCTTCCTCTTCGCCAATCATGGATCCATGCCTGATGCCAAATCTGCTGAGAGCCTTGGCGACGCCGCCGGCAAGCGGCGCGGCTGGAGGTTGGCCTCTTCAGCAAAAGCTTGGCTTCTTTCTCCTTCTCAGCATACTGCTCTTGCAGCAGCTTCATTTCCTCCTCTCGCTCAAGGACAGCTTGATTGGCAGCCTTGCCTTGGGCTTCGGCCTCTTCAATGGCCTTTTGGATTGACTCGGACTTCTTCTCGTACAGTTCACGATTGGACTGCATGGTGTCCTGGATGGCTTGGTTCATGACTGCAATCCCAACAGCTGCAATCCCGGGGCGACCTTTGCCTGATCCAGGATTCTTTGGCGTTGCTTTGGTCTTGACGTCAGCCTTGGCCTTTGCCTTGGCTGCTCCCTGGGAAACTGCGGCAGGCGCTGCTTTCTCCATCTCGATGGCAAAGAGAGTGGTGACGTCAGCGGAATACTCGGGCTCGGGTTGATGGTCTTGAGCCACAGAGGCTTCAGATTCTTCAATCTTGCCTTTAGAATCTTTGCCTTTGCCACCTTTGCCTTTACCCTTGGAGTTTTGGTTGCACAAACTGTTCTTGTTCCAATCATTCTTGCACCAATCAGTCTCATTCCATGAATTGTTCCACGACGAGGGATTGGACCAACTCGAACTTTTTCCCTTCTGTTTGCCTTTGTCGTTTCCTTTGCCTTTTCCTTTGGCTTTGGCCAGACTCGCAAGTGAAGCTTGCATCTGGCTGGCAGCTGCGGCCAATGCATCAACATCCATTGGCGCTGATCCTGTCTTTGCTTCTCTTCGGCTCTTGACGTTCTCGAGATAGGCCACAATCTCTGACTTCATGATGTCATAGTCTGTGAGTCTTGAGGTCAGGGTGATCTTGGACGAGCTTTGCTGGACACATCTGTTGCAGACAGCTCCTGGCAATATCATCATCAAGAACTTTCTACTTTCGCTCTTCATACTTGCGCCTGATGTTTTCCCAGGCTTCAATGCTCTCTCGCAGCTTGTCTAGCGCGCATTGTTGTGGGCGCAAGACTTTCTTCAGCAGTACTGAGTTTGCTTGTGGGTTCTGTGGATCATACTTGGCGATCAATCGTCGCAATGCCTCTAGGCCAAAGTGTCGACCTTTTTGAGGTATTCTTGACAATCTCGAGGGCTTCTCCCTCACACAGTGAGATCAGAGCCTGTCGGGCCTGAGCTGAAACAAGCTCGGCTCCTTCAGGATAATCATGTTCCAGAGATGTCTCATTGATCTCTGTATCTTGATGCTCTTCAAGGAGCTGAATGCACTTTCTTGCATTCTTGTGACTTGTCTCGATCCAAGTCTTGAGCTTGAAGTACCATGAGTCCCAGGTACCTGTATGTCCACTGAACTTGTCAGGCTTTGGGATGCCTTTCAGTTCTGACCGGTCTCGCACTTCCACACTGGTTGCGATGTTCCGTGTGATAGCCATTTGCTGAGCGTATGCTTCTGCCATTGCTCGTTGCAGTTGATTCTGCCCTTGCGCTAGTGCTTGCATCATCTGTGCAAATTGCTGTGCCATGTCTGTATAGCCTGCGCTTGTGCTCCTGGCTGTTGTGCCATGTTGACTGGAAGGTGCTTCCATCCCATAGCTCCAACTTGTGGATATGGAACACCGATCCTTCGACCAGGCACGGACCAGCATTCAAGCAAATGTGAACGCTGCCAGCCCGTCGATTGAAATTGGCCGACAACCAACTCATGGCCTCGGGGTTGGTGCTCCCCAGGGCTCTTACATGCACTGTCAAACTGCCATCTGCTGCCAGCTCCCGCAACAAAACCACGAAAGCCGCCTCGATCAGGCAGTTCTGTGGTAATTACTTGTCCTCGACGGGGGGCGAAAAGGCTCCATCGCTCGAAGTTGCTCACGTCGTACTCTCCCAACTCTCCACTTACAGCCTCTGCAAAAGCCGGGGCCGTCATCTCTTCTTTGGTGTAGGGGGTAGGCCAGGAATGGCCTCGCGCTTCGACTGGTTTGGGTCGAACTCAAAATGAGATCTATCCAAACTACGGAACGGGTTGGACTCCGCTCTGTGCAGTCGCTTGTGCTTGCGACCAGCCCGATGCTTTGGCCTCCTCTTCCGAGACCTTTTCTTCTCTCCTCCTTCGTCTCCTCGATGATGTCGACGTCGATGATGTTCGATCCTGCCTGGGCCGCTTCGAACTCTCGGGCCTCTCACGAGGATCATGCACTTCGGATCTCCGATCCTCGGGCACGGCGGGCTCACCAGCCTCAAGGGATCGATCCTTTCTCTCCACCGGCCGAGGGGCACTAGCCTTGGACGCTAAGCCCTTCTCGCCCGTCCCTGGAGGGACGATAGTGGCCTCCGAAGCCTCGGACTCCTCCTCCTCGGACTCAACCTCGCAGCTCTCCTCCTCTTGAGGTTCTTGAACCCCGCTGCCTCGAGCAGCAGCCTCACTCTCCGGCTCCTCCTTCTTGAGGCTGCGCGCCAGAGGAGGGCGCTCAGCCGCGGCCGCCGAGGCCTCGCCAGGGAGCGCTCGGGCGTGCCCAGCCGAGGGGGTCGCTCCCCGAGTCACTCGGAGCGCCCGCACTGTGCGTGCAGCGCTCACGAGGACGTCGGAGGCGACCACCCTCAGGCCCGGGTGATGCCAGGCGAAGCCCAGCTCAGTGCCCAGCGCTTCCCACGCCGAGCAAGCCAAGCACCAGGTGTCCGCGTGCGCTGGTGGCGCACGCTTACACCTGGCGCACACAGACATGGGCCACCGCGAAGGACCTATTGAGCCCGTGGCCAAAGATGCAATTCGTGCAACTTATCTCACCTAAAGGAAGATTTCATATATATATATATAATATATATATATAATATATATATAATATGTGTATATATATATATATATTTGTATGTGATCAGTATGCATCAAAACCGGGCAAATTAACTGAGGCCTTGGTAGCAGCTGCGTCAGCGACAGCAGTATCAGGGCAAAGCACTGTGCGACCGCAATCACGTGGATCGTATGCATCTTGGCAGCAATCATGGAGATGGAGAAATGCCTCAGCCCAGGCAACTCGTTGATTCTCCAACTGTGCTGCAGACTCTGAGCGGCTGGACGTCCTCCATGGAACTTTCATGAATCCAATTGAAGACGACAGTCGGAACCATTGCAAGAACACCTGAAGACAAACTAGGCTCACATCCACAAACTCACGTGCAACAGCTGGTTGCAGCTTAAAAGCGTATCCCAGCTCGACGATCCCTTGCGTATGCCGTCTGGCCTTGCTGGAAGAAATGAAAAGAGAAATGTCCCAGCTTGACGGCCTCTTGAATTCTCCACAAATCAGGGCCTGCTGAAATCTCGCAAAGAGTGAAGCCGTATAACCTTCTGTTGACTCAACCAAGTAGGAGACAGCCTCGGCAACATGCTTGAGCATCTATCCGTCTAAAGCCTCAGCCTGATTGCAACTCTCTTAGGGCAGGGACAGGGCAAAAAACGGCTTGCACCTTCCAGTCAGACAGAAGGAAGCGAATGCTATGGTGCCCTGATGAGTCATACTCAACCGCCTTAACCTGCGGAACCAGCTGGATTTCGTTTCCATCCCCCACTTGCTTCTCGTGCTCCTTCAGGTCTACACTTGGGAGCAAAGCAAAGACGAGCGAAGCACATCCAAGAAATCCAAGCCTTCTTTGCATGCGAAAGCTCCCAAAGAGCTGCGAAGTAGCACTTGCAGTACATGTGATGATCCTAGCAGGAACAAACATACTTCGATTATCCTCCAATATCCCCAACTTGGTGCATGATTTTGCTGTCCTCTGCTATGACATCGACATCCCAACCATCCACTTCGGGATGGGAAGCCAATGCCAAGGTCATAGAATACCTGTGAGAGTAGCCACGAATCTAGTCTATATCATGTCAGTGCCTGTGTCGCACGATGAGTAGGCAAAGGCTGGGAAAATGTGCTGACTGGCCAGTGTCGCGAGCTCGAAAATGAGCCTGAAGGAACATTCAGGCGACAGTGCAGTATGTGTCCCACTGAAAAGCATGAATCTTGACACTGCGAACGGCCCACGCTGCGTGTGAAGATGTCCGCGTCAATGCAGGAACAGAAAATATGTTTCGAACCTGCACGGGAGCGATTGACTGTTTGTGTTAGTGATGAGATTGACTGGCAGTCTCAAGTTATGGACAAAGGCAACACTTGCCAGGCGCGCAAGCAAAACTGGTGGCTGCCAAATTGTCCAGGAGCGTTCCTCCTTGTCCATCAGAAGGCCTTCAGTATCATGCGCTCGATCGGAAAGGTTGGTCACTCCTTTGCCCGCCTTGATAAGTGAGAGCACTCAAGTACTGTGGATGCAACCTGAGTGATAAGGACTGACATGAATCTGAGCATCAATTGAAACGTGTCAAAGACAACGAGGCATGTGAAAGCGCAAGTGCCAGTACACTCCACCCGACTGCAAGGGTCGCAACAGTGTGTCTGCGTCGGCCACTGTGAGGAATACGCGAGACCTTAGCTCAGGCTGGACTGCTATGCACTCAACCCGGCAAAGATGCACGGACTTCAATTGTTTGACACACTGTTCAACAGTGTTGTAAGACACAAACAAATCCCGCTTGGACAAGGATGCTCCATATCTGCGCAAAGCCTGCAAAGCTGCTAGTGAAAAGCAGGAACACATCAAATAGGATCGTGATCACAGGTCACCTCTCTGAAGGCCCATTGTGTGTTCGAAGACTTTCCAGCCACTTCCCCAGGAAGGTTCTGGCGAACATGCATGGCAGCGCACGCTACTCACTACTCAGTCCCTTCACAAAGCAAATGCATGTTCAAGCTCTTACTCCTGTGGATGGTAGGTCGCGAAAATGTCGGCAAAGAGGTGTTTCTGCCCATCAGCAAAGATCAGCAATTCATGGGAAACATGCAAGATCGTCAGAGAAAAATGTCCGTCCTTCTCGGCCATTATTCGTTCTGCCTTCTCTCGTCCAGCAGGACCTTCCCTCGCCTGAACAGCTTGATTCTCAAGCTCAGCGCAGACCAAGAAAGAGCTAGCCGCCAGCTAAGCATGTTGGAGACAAACCTGCTCAAAATCTAAATGGCCAGCTAGACCTCCATAGCGAGGACGATGTGTACGCAGGACTTCGCCAAGCGACTCCGTGCCAGGTTGTCGAGAGTCTCCTGAAGTTTTGCTCCAATCCGTTGCGCTCTTCATGATTGAACCAATGTGGTGAGGTCCTTTAGCATCTTTTCGGCTTCCATGTAATTCGGCAGCAACACTATGTGCTTCAAGCCTGCTCGTGCCTCGTTTTGTTCTCCGCACCGCACTGAAAAGCAACTTGGGTAGGTAGGTCATGCTAGGTCTAACAGGGAGCCGATGTTGACACCCACTGAAGCGAGGACATCCAATGGCATCTCGTGCAACTTTGCATGCCAATCGATGGCAGCAGCCTTCCACTGCACAATGAATCAAAGTACTTCTACTTCTGCAGTGTACACTGCCCAAGCCCACCAAACATTGCCTATTTTAATTATGTTTATTGTTTCTGAAGTAGCGCAATATTGTGAGCTGCAGCTGCATCAATCTAAGTGCATTTCTAGAATGTTGTTGAAGAGCTCGAAACAGGCAGCTCGCACATGTGGTCACCCGTGTGAAATGGATGAATTTAACCGTGAAATCTTACAAATTCTTCCAAGGGCGTTCTGCCCAAAAGTGCCTGACGCATTTTGAAGACACCGGCAAAGCTGGCCAGCGATAGGTTGCTGATCCACAGCCAAGTGATTAGAGTCAGCAAAGCTGTGACGAGTTCAGCCAGGAATGTGGAGAAGATCACAGAGAAAAACACCTTAAAAAGCGACATTCCAAAGGTTTATCAACATAGAGCTGTGAGCAACAGAAATATGCAGAAACCCTGGACTGAGCGTCGCTGCAAATGCATAGGTGGCAAAGAGGAAAATGGCGGGCGCCATGCAGCACAGCCATGGTAGAAGTTCCACCTGCTTCGACTCAGATCGTCTAAGGCTGTGAAGGAAACAGCTAGGCGAAACAATGTGTTCCTATCAGACTGAGAGATACTGGGAGTGGGTCATCATATGACTAGCTGACAAAAAGACTTTGTGCCAGGATAAACCCCAAGTAGCGAAAGATATTTGTGGGCAGTGTCCTGCAGCAGCACCAGCACCCAGGCTCCAAAGCACACACAGCCATTGACATCTAGCAGCAGCACCCTGCAGGAGCACCCTGCAGCGGCACCAGCACTCAGGTTCCAAAGCGCACGGCGCACTGCCATAGACATCTGGCAACAACACCCTACAGCAGCACCACCATCCAATCTCCAAAGCGCACAAACCCATACACGTCTCGCAGGACACCCTACAGCTGCACCCTGTAGCAGCACCAGCGCCCAAGCTCCACGGCCATCGACATCTTGCAGCACCCTGGACCCTGAGAGGCACCCACCCAGGCTCCAAAGTGCACACGGCACCTATTCCTGCACTTGAAGTAAGAACCCCAATAGATCTCGACTCTGGGAAATAAAATAGCAAAATATATCATGCTTTCTCTTCTAGTTGGGTGTACTGATCACTATAGTGTGTTATTGACGTCCGGTATCAGTCGACCCCAACTGCTCTCGCCTGTGAGAGGGAGATATGTCGTCGCGGCCCGGCCCCAAGGTCGCCAACGCCAGACCTTCAAGCATTGGAAGAAGACATGGAAGGTATAAGATATGATTATATATATATATGCTACCCCACCCCCTTCAAGATCTACCTTTCTTATACTTTTGACAGATGCAGATGGTTGTGGACCAAGGTGTAGCTGTGATAAGAGACAGTTTGATAGATATAAGTGAGCAAAGGAAACACAAACTGGAGGACAAAAGTTGATTGGATAAGAAAGCAAAGATGTTGCAGCATTAAGAAAACATAGTGGTTCTTTGGGGAGAGAAATAGAACACAATAACAGTAATGAAAATGAAAGGCGTGGCTGGGCTAGAGCTTTGCATGGAGTGCAGGTCTGTGCGCGCCCAGCCTGACGCCAAAAAGTTTAAACAGCAAACACAAGTTTCCAGGAGTCTTGAAGGGCGGCCTGCAAGAGGGAAGAACAAGGCCTATGTGTCGAACACGGTTTTCGCAATTTCCCACAATCAGAAAATGATGATCTTTACACCAAAACTGCGCATTTCTATGAATGTCACCACTCCCCCTTCTGTTAGACAAACCCGTATCAGGGGCCTAAGTTTAAAATAGAAGACAAAAAACTAGTGTGTAAAGAAAGAAAAAATGTCTATATTGCTGGAGAAACTTGAATGTTGAATCCATGTCCAAAAAACTTAGCTTGAGTAGGAAAACAACTAGTTTGTTTTACTGTCTATCTCCAATCGATGCATAGACATATATATATACACATATGGTACCCCCGCACATCTGACACCAAGGTATTACAAACACATGAAAAAGGTAGATATTGGGGGGGGGCGCACCATATATATATATATATTTACAATATGTATATATATGTATAGACAGTACAAGTATATATATGTATAAGAGGATAGAGTTCAGTTTCATCGGATCCAAGATGTGGGCAAGAAAATACGAAAAGCACGTCTGGCAAGCGAAGTTGGTGGAGAAACAGCAATTGACCTGTTGCCAAATCAGTTGTGGCCCGCCTCTTGTAGGTTGCATGTGAGGTCAATGGCGATCCCAATGTAGATCTGAAAAAAAGAAACTCAATTACACCAACAAACTCAAAGATTGCAAAAAAGAAGTTGAAAGGCAACAAAGACCAAAACAATAGCTGTCTATCTGAAACACCAAGGCATGCGACTCAAAGACTCAAAATAGAATACTTGCAGTAGCGTATTGGACCAAAGCCTTGGGGTGGGCTGCCCTGCCGCAATCCTAGCTACCGAAGCTGACTCCTTAGTGTGACAAAATCGCACCTCCTCCTTCAAAACCATGCCAAGCGCAAGGTTCTCAAGCCAATTTCTAGAATGGGATGTAAGGCACGAACGGGCAGGTCGACATCTATCTCAGGTGGATTATTTGGGACTTTGCCTTTTCTTTGCCGGGCCTGCCAAAATCGAAAAGGAGAAAAGGAGCTTGACAAATATGTGATCCGTTCAAAGCCAGCAAACATCAACCCTGACACGTCCTGTGAAGAGGGACAATCTGCCAAACTCTGAAAGAAATGGAAGCGCCAATGATAAATCACCAAAGCAAGATAAGTGCTTGAAAAAGAACCCATTTTCGTTCTTTTCCTGTTCAAACTGACAAATGATGCGATGCACCTGCGATGCCATGCACAAAGCTAACAAGCTCACGGGGCGAAGCTGTTGTGGCTGCGATGCCAGGATCGTGGAACATGAGGATCTTTGATGGGGTCCTTGTTTCTTCTTTAGGCATCCCTCCTTCTTCTTACTGTCTTTCCTTCCTTCCTTCTTTCTGTCTTTTCGCGTCTTTTCTTTTCTTTGCGTTTCTTTCCTTTCCTTTCCTTTTCTTTCTTGGTGTCTTTCTTTCTTCTCACTAAATGGTGTTTGACTTTGCACATGTCTCCACCTTTGTACTTTGTGCACACAAAACTTGCTTGGAATCAGCAGTGTGGAACATGTACAGCCATCTCTTAGCTTTGCGGGTGCTTACCACAGAAACCGATGCGACACTCAGCCGCATCCGCTCCTTCATCAGCTCCTTTTACTCCCCGAATCACACAAACCGTGCGTCTATGGTCAATCGCACGCATGCGAAGGGCATTTGGCTGCTAAAGATCTCTCGAAGAAGCTATGCAACAAGGGCCGCAAACCCAACGTTACATTAATTATAACTCATGATTTCATGATCGGTAGTTGTTGTGTATCCGGTGATACCTTCAGCTGCTGAAGCTAGCTCAACGCAACAGCAAAGAAAAAGAATCTTAAACTGTGCGCTGAGCTAGCATGTCTTCTGAGCGGTCCATCGCATGTGTGCTCAAACGGCAAAAAGAGGACACTGAGGACACCTCAAGTTCTCGCACCTCTGCGAGACATGAGAGGCCATCACTTATCAACCATCGCCACAAGGAGAGCGAGAATAGAAAGCGCACAGGTACTTTAGCATCTTTGGAATGTATGATGGACTCTTACTGATATGTAAGATCTGACGGCTCTATGGCTCTATAGTTGGTTTGCTGCCTTCAAGCAGAATCTCAGCATCTCTCAAATTCACCAAGTGAAATCAATCTCAGGCTCCAGTGCCACCGCTTCACAAGTACTCACAGCAACTTTTCAAGTACTTGCTTGAACGGAGTGAGTCCCATGAAAAGTCACGGAGCCTGAAGAGGCCCTGATGACTCAAATTAGAGCTGTCCCCAAAGGTCTCGCAACTTGCCTTGGAGTTTCTTTCGGCTTTCTCTCAGTTTTCTTGTGTCTCAGCGCTCAGTCTCTGTGCCAGGCTGTTTTGCTGCCGCTTGCGATGCAGTCATAGGCACCTCCAACTCAGCGCGCTGACTTTTGCAAGAACGCTAGTAGGTTGGAGACCATCGCTCTTAGGTTGGAGGCCATCGCTAGTAGGACCCGTGTAGGTCCGCCTCTCAATTCTCTTCATCGGTTTCGTACTCAGAATCGCTTTGAGCATTAGCGCCAGCTCTGTAATGCGCCTGCATTTCGGCAGTCTTGGTTGTGAAGCAAATACCAAAAGCATCCAAAAGCCAACAATGGCCACTCGAGCGAAAGCAATTTCGTTTTTGCATGTAGACTTGGGAACAGCCTTGCTCTGGGCAGGCTGGCTTTCAAAAACCGATTGTTCCTGCAAGGCTAAAAGTTTCTGAGATTGAGCTGGACGAACTGCATGCAACAAGAAATTCATATATATCTAAAAATGAGAAAAGTTGTGAGTCCATCGCCTGACTGGTGTTGATCGCATCATTTCTTCCGTGTCCAACCACCGCCTGTCGCATTTAATCTTTCGGAGAACTCATGAAAGACCGTAGAAACAATAAGCTACTAGGAACAAGTGCCTTACTAGTAGTAACAAGTGCCTTACTAGTAGTAACAAGAAGCTATTCGAAACAATAAATAGAATTAAATTGCCCACATTAACTTGTCTTGCACACCGTCATTGAAAGACCGTTCCTCAACAAAAAAATGTCGTCCATGGTTTTCAATGTGTTAAAACCGACACACTGGATCGATTCACCTGACAAGAGATACATAATATTTGACGCCAACCAGCATGGGTGAAAATATCAATGATAAAAGACTTAAAACGTTTCCAACTTAATCCAACTACATCCAACTACTATAGGTCCCTCTACCACTCTGACCTGACCTGATTGTGCTGCACAACTAGGGGTCCTGGTCAAGCACTGGAGAGCCAAGCCATTCTTGCACGCAAAATCTCGCAGTTTTGTTTCGCCCCCTTAGCACGTCATTCCCGCAAAAACCCGCTTGCTATGACTGGGGTTTGCTACGAAAACATGTCATTTTAGTGGCGTTTGGTTCAAAGAAGGGGACGGCGACGACGTCCGTTGGACCTTGACCAGGCATCGGTTCATGTAATTCCGCACAAACACCCAGTCTTACTTTCGGTACACGTGTGCCTCATTTCATCCTCTGCTTTTTTTTCTAACTCCCTCCACACTTCTTCAATCTTTTTCAACGTCACTTCCTGCTTTCATCCTCCCTTCCTCTTCAGTTTCTTAGTTCCTGGTTGCCTCCTCAGGACTTCCTTTTGGCTTTCAAGGGCAGAGATGCAAGATTGATGCAACCAGCAAAATGGGATGGGCACCAAATGCATTGGCTCAAGCAAATGGACATCCTTGTAAAGCAAACAGTGCAATGCTACCACACCACCAAGTGGTACAGCGTGGGAGATGAGCAGAGTTACAAGTTGACAATATGTAAAGTAATATGTGCATACGATTGCATCATATCTGCACTATGAGAAGCAATGACAAGAAGCTACACTGGCCTTGCTTTGCTGAGGCTGGCTCTCGAAGACTGATTGATCAGTGCCCGCGGAAACAGTGTCTTTGTGACTTACCTTCAGTACATCATCGGAACCTATGGAAACAGTTGCACACTCAGCGGTTTAAAGCAAGCAAAAGCCAGCAAAGCCTCGTATACCCTGGTACATGGCTGCAAGATCGAGGTCCAAGTGCCAGGCCATAGCAGAACTCTGACTAGGTTGGCTTTCAAACACAGAGGGCTGATCACCAACGCTGGTGGCCTTGGTGCGGAATGGCGTTTTTGCTTGTTTTGAAGCTTCGTGACAAGGCCACCACTTGCGAAGAATGGCCATATGCAGCAGAAGATTGCTTTGGTTGGCTTTCAAAGACCTGCCAAGTTGCCACTGTTCAAGGTTGTTTTGTTTCACTCTCACTCTCACACTCTCACACTCTTACTCCCTCGCCTTCTCACTATATCACTACCTCACACTATCTCACTATCTCACTCCCTCACTCCCTCACACTCACTCATTCTCACTCAATCATTGTCACTCACTCATTGTCACTCACTCATTCCGATCCCACTAATTCTCATTCTCATTCTCACTCTCACCCTCACTCTCACTCTCACTCATTCTCACTCTCACTCCATCTAAATTCTAGATCGCACTGGGAGGCACACAGATTGCGACTGGTCCGCAGCAGTTGCGGCTTTGGTGTAGGAGGTCTCTGCGCGACTGGCACAGGAGGAACACAAACATTCTGGCAGTTCGCTGTTCTCTTTTCTTTGGGTTTCCCTCTGCACAAATTTTAGAATATTTCTCTAAATCCGGCTTTGCTTCGGTTGGCCTCTCCGCAGGCGCGCTCTCAAACACAGATTGGCCGTCACCAGCCACTGGAGCCTGGGACATCTAAAGGCAGTTAGGCAAGCGCCTTCGGCATGCTGCAAATAAACGTTGCATCTGAGAGTCTGTGTCAGAAGCAGTGACCATTGCGGAGGACTTCTTCGGCTGGCTTTCGAACACAGACGGCGCCTTTAAGCAGTCAGTTGGCGGCAGTCAGGGTCTAACAGGATCGCACGCAACTGACAGAAATTGTCTTACAATCACACTGCCTCACCAGCACTTAGGCCATCATTGCGACCGTAGCCCACAGCTGCCTGGGCCAAGAACACGGTGCAACACAAACAAACAAAATCATCAAGAACATGAGAAACACCGCATGGCACTAACCGGGATCACTCCATCGAAGTGTGGCCTTGCTTTGAGCTGGCTGGCTCTCGAAGGCTGACCTTAAAGGAGAACAAACTCACCTAAGCTAAGGAAAACCTGAAACGTGAGGGGACGAAGCACGCTTAGAGCAAGGCGCTTCACTCAAGAAATTCCAATAAGCGATGTGAGGGTCTCTAACAGTCCCACACAGACCCCTGATTATTCATTCTGCGCATAGATGCATGTGCCGTGTCCTGAACCCGCTTTCGGAGGTGCTCCTTTTTGCCCCCGAGGCGGCCATCGAACAAACCTTCAAAAACTCCTCCATAAGGATCCATAAGGTCTTTTTTGGGAGAACTTGCTACCAGAACCCACTTTTTCAAATGTGTTTGTTGCGGCTAGATTGCCTTCAAACACGCCGAATTTCCTGCATCAACAAGTCATTATTGCTGTTTCCCACTTTGTCCCGGGCCTTATAGTTTCTTACAAGTCACTTACAAAAGAACGACACCAGAATCCCATTCTTTCAAGGTTAACCCACCAGCATCCCAACACACCTTCTTTTTGTACATGGTGACAGACGAAGCTGGTAAACGGGCGAAACACCCACTCACAGATCTCACCGGAATCGCACAACTCCACCTTTCAATCTGGACCCATGGGTCACTTAACTGACGAATACCAAACAAGCCAGCATCAAGAAGTTCGTGACCGGTCGCCATCTCCCTACTGCAAGAAACTGTAAACTGCTGTTGAGTTCCTCAACGGCCCCTGAAAAACACAAGAACCTCATTCTTTTAAGGTTGACCCGCCAGCATCCCAACACACCTTCTTTTTGCACATGGCGACAGACAAAGCTGGCAAACGGGGTGGTAAATTAAAATTTATGGGGCAGCCATTGACCTCTACGAAGGCCTGACCCCGATCGCCCGCGCGCGACACCCCATTTCCCTTCAGCCTTTTTGTCGCCAGAAGGATTCAAGCATTCCATGACGCTAGGCTTCCTCGGCTTGGTGGGTCGGATGTTGACGGCACACGAGTGAACCAGAACAGCATGCGTTGGCCTGGTCGCATATTTCCCGCGCAAGCAAGAGCTGTCTCCATTCAATTTCACGCGCGTTGCCCTTGATGAGCGCATCCGCAACAGAGAAGTTATCTTGGAAGAAGATAGCTCGAGCATTTCTCAAACGTTGATCCCAGGCACATCTAGCACGTGTTCTTTTCCAGCGTTCGTCCATTTTTGCGCCAGTTCTGGAGGCACCCTAGCCCCAAAGACCTGAACGCGCATCCCCGGTAGAATCAGAATTCCACCTACTGTTGCATCGCCCAACGCATGTCGAGGCTGATATGCTCCGTCAGTGAAAAACCAAGCACGGTTTCTGTGGCACATCAGCTTCGAAGAAACGGGGCTTTTCCGCTGGGCTCCGCTCCATCAAGCTGTCCATTCGCACTGTCGCGGCGCCACCCGCCGCAAAGTCGCGAATATCTGCCACTGCAAGCTTTCCGGCACACCCAAAAGTGTGATGATCGGCAAATTGTATTCTCCCAAGCACGGAAGGCAGATCCTTCACACAAATTCGACCATTAGCCAAAACCTCGTTGATGGCATTGTCGCTTTCCAGTTTTCTTGATTCCTTGTTTTGCACACACGCACAGCCAGTCTTTTCTAAGTTGAGCTCAACTCCTAGCGTCTCTGCACGCTCGGAGAACTGCTGTATAGCTTATCCCCGCCAAGCCTAAACCCGAGCAGCTTCATCAACAGCTTCACGCTCTGCGATGTCGATGCTTGCAACGCAAAAAGCGGGGTCAGAGTTGGGTAATCAAAGTATTTCGCGCGTGGGATGCGCAACGAGCATCCAATGGCCCACAAAAAAGGCGCGCTACTCTGTTGAAGTGGTAAACTGTCGCTTGTGCACCAAACGGCAATGTTCTCATCACAAAACACCGCAGCTCTTCACTCTGAGGGGATAGCAAGCAAATGACGGTCAACAACCTGTGCTCTTGGTTGACCCAATGCCAATCAGAACGCAAACTGCCTCTGAGTTGCATCCAGTCTGCCAGGCGCAAGCGCACATCACGTTGATGTCCATTGGCGCATCAAGATCAAGATTTGATCCGTGGCCCGCAACGTGATCTTCTCTATGGAGTTGAACGCGTCGTTCAGCTGATTTTGCGCGCGATCATCTATTGGCTTGAGCTTGTCTTTTTGAGCCACAGGCAAGCGTCTGAGCGGTATCCACTCCTCACCGTATAAAGCATCCACTTGCTTCAGTGTGAGGGTCAACCACCCTTCCTCACACGCTTCGCGACAGGTGAGCTCATACAATTCCTTTGACTGCTCATTCAATTCAATCCTGCTGCGCGATTTTGCCCCAAGTATTGCACTTAAGGTGTTTGGCTTTCCCCGTGAAGTCTTCTTCCTTCAGCACTCCGGGGCGCAGCTCCGGCTTGAAGACATGAGATGCTCTTGGCGCTCCCACCAACCTGAACCCTGACATCAAGCCTTCATGAAGTGAAGCGTCTGGCCAGTCAATGTCGTTCGCGATCTTTTGCAACAGCAAATTTCGTTTTGGCTTGGGTAACGCTTCTACGTCCTTGCGCACGGAGCTTTTCAAAGTGCATTCGTTCCATTGGAGCTGCTTCCATTGCGCCAGCTTCACGATTCTCGACTTTGCAGTCTGGATTGGCCTACGTGATCACAGACCGATCACCAGCCGACAACTGATTGAACAAAGAAGGCCAAACTTGGCGGCCCTGAAAGCAGGGTACAACCTGTGCACTATGGGTCCCCACATTCTTTTCGATACAGGAGACGAGACCCATCTGCACAAGCACTGGCCTGCCTGCGCAGCCGATGGGCAGTTTGCTCAAGCCTTCCTCTGCACCCATGACCCATGGAGAGACCCAATCCACACCGGTCGTCTGCATAGCGCAAAGTGCAGGACAACAAAAATCCTGCGGCAATCCGATCTTTGGCCACGGCACTGCCATGCACCACAAAACGTTCAAGTGCAGAAACTTGATTAGCAGTCAAAGGATCCTTCTGCAATAAGACACGCTTGCGCTTGTAGTGTTCTGACGCAACACCACGGACGCGGCCAGAATCCGAAACAGGCTTGGCAACATATAGCCCAAGGACATGCGTGGCAAATGAAAATGAAATTGTGTTGCAGCGGGGCGATCACCCATATGCTTGAAATAAGCGTACACGACCGATTCTTGTAGAGGCCATGGGGTTTGTCCTGCGTCTTGACAAAATTTACAATACTGCAATAAATGGCCGGCGCGGGCATGACGCGCGGAGGTCGCCCAGTTTGCAAGCGCATCAGTAAGGCAGTCGTCAAGCAACCCTACCTTGCCGATTTGCAGTCGACTGGTCATCTGCTGATGCCCAATTTCCCACGCGGTTGCGTTTTCTTTCTTAACCAACGCAGGCCATTTCTTAAGCGCCGCCTCAAGGCATGCTGCACCCGAACGCCCCATTTAGTGGAGCGCGTCGTAAATTTCAATCCCGCCAAAACAAACGCGCTCTCTCTATCGCTTGCCACAGCTGGAAGCGGCACTGCAACACAAGAATCGAAGCGAGGGATTGGTGCCATTGCAGGGCATGCCCTGTATTGCCCCACATCCCTTCCACAGGTCCAGCGCCAGCAGCTCGCCAGCAATACTCCCATATGGCATTTAGAGTGCCAAGGAGTGGCCTGCGGAACATAATGTAGACTAGACCTCCTGCCACAATCTGCATCTGCTTCTGGCTACATTTACGCAGCAAGAGAGTGAGTTGCACATACCGCATCAGCTTCTCTGGCCTTGGTCTAGCAGTACCCTCCTGCCCATCAACCAAAGCACCCTGCACTTCAGCTTCGACTTGTCGCTCGACTGCTTTCTTCGGATGTTGGGGGATTCGCACGTCACTGTATACAGAGCGTAGACTGTCAACAAGCTGGTCAAAGTTGTCTAAGTATTTCTGTACGCGGGGTTTTGACAGGTCAAGGGGCGATCACGCCTGAGCTCCGCCAACCCTCAGGGAGGCCCGCTTCCCTCGCTTCCTCTGACGCTCTGCTCACCACGTTCTGTTGAATGTGCTGGGCCAGCGCAACACTGTTGCAAAAACCCACTGGGAGCACCAAAGAAGTGAGGTAGAAACGCTCCTGTTGGTGGGGGCAAAGGTGAGCAGGAAGAGGTTTAGCAAACGCCAGAAAAGGAAACCATTCACGAGGAACCCGAAATAAATTAAAGAAGCGCCTCACATCCTCACTGTGCTGATCACCAAAGTCTCGGAGGGATGCACGACGAAGGCATTCATGCTCGGCCAGGCCGGTAAAGTCGACACATCGCCCTCAATCCCTTTGCAAAGTTTGTTGCGGGGGACTAAATTCAATAATGAGTCGCGATGTACTTCTTGAACTGTCGTCGGAAGTTAGGGAAGCGCTGAGGGGCATGGTGTGCGCTCTCAACAGTGTTTACGATTGTCCATCGTCCGGTGCCCAACGAGTTTCACCTTTGCATGTTCGCATACTTTCTCAATTGAGTGATGAGGCCCAGAGGTTTTTGTTCAAAGTTGGTGCTTTTGAGAAACTGTCGTGGAAAGATTTTCTTAGGGTCCGAAGTGTAGACTACAAGGGGGAGGAAGTGAAGACCGCGCAGAGGACTTCATGGTCACACGTTTCACCTGCCTTACCACAAGAGGTCGGAACCGATGTTGTAAGTGGTGGGTGCCTACATTGTGTGAAGAACTTCACCCAATACCTGCTTCACAGGTGTACACCAAACCGCCTAAAGTAACGGTGGCCGATGAAGAGTGGGGGACCATGTGTGAGGGCCTCCTACAGGGCCATTCCAGAGAGCCAAGTACATCACGCGCAAGGCCGGCCGTTGTTGAACGGACTGTTCGGGGTGTTGAAGGAGGAAACGGACCGAGGCCAAGAAAGTGGAAACACTTCCCCCTTGGTCAAGGTCTTGTGAAGAAAAGGAGACAGGTCCCCAATCAAGTCCCCCACAATGTCGACGAACCGAAATCCGCCCGCGCCCAAATCCCTTGTTCGCTCCAAGAGCGGACACTGTGAAAGTTTGCTATCCAAGGCGGCATCCTCTTCAAGCACTGTGCCGGCCAAAATGGCCTCCGAGGAGTGATCATATGCGATCTCACTCCCATTCGGCTGCAGCAACTTCGATGGGTCATCCTCATAGCCTCTTGATTCTTTCTCTTTGCTTTGATAGGCCATATCTGCAATGCGATGCAGCTCTGCCTCAATCTCCCTCTCGCTCATCCTTTGGGAAGGAGACTCTACTTGTCTTTCTCCTGTTCCCCTTTGTGTTTGTCCTTTCCTCCTCCTTTCTCCTTCTTGCCTTTCCCTTTGCTCTCCTCCTGCTTGTTCTTGGAGCCTCCTTTGTCGCCCTTCTGCCAAGTCTTCTGTGTAGCCTGCCGGTTCTTCAACTCCTCTCGCAACTGTCTGTTTGCACCCTTGCTCTCCTCCAATCCGGCCAACTGGGAGGGGTGTCAACTCCAATTTCTGTGAAGCCGCCCAAGATTGTCCTCCTCCCAAAGCTTCGATGCTCTTTATAGGCGCTGCAACAATTATGTCCGCGCCTAGCGCTACTTGTCCTCCGAGCAACGCGTCTGTTGCAGCACAGATGTTCAAACTTTCTCGACTCAAGGGGGCGACAGCGACAGTCTCTGGGACAACACCTGTTTGTGGTATTGCATGGCTATGCACGGCACTGGCCCGCTCTGAGTATGGGCGGCCAAAGCGCCGGGCCCCTTGGCCGCTGCCCTCCTGATCCTGTGCGTCTCCTCGAACAAATTGGGGGCCCTCGCCACTGGAACCACTCCCGTCCGTGCTGCTGCACGAGGAGTCGTCGCTGTCGTCCTTGGTCCGACGCGCGCGCTTCATGACTTTTCTGCGGACCTTCGGATTGGGGTCGAGGCCGGTGTTGTCGTAGACCTTGATGAGCTCCTTCTTGCCTTGTATGCGGAACCCTTTCGCCTTCTTTTTCTCCTTCTTCTTTTTGCTCTTCTTTCTTCCGGGCTGAGCTCGAACTCGAACTGGACACCTCTTCTCTCTTTTCTTCCTCGCCTGCCGGGGCCACTCGAGCTCCTCCTACTCATCTCTTTTTCCTTCCGGCCTGACTCCTCTGCCAGTCGCTTCAATGCTTCGCTCTCGGCGGCCTCTTTCAAGTTCTCGGCCCATGCTGGAGGCTCCACTTCCAACCACCTGAGACGCTTCAGGTGAATGCTCCAGCTGAGCCCCAACCAGAGTCACTCCCAGGATCTCGCCAGCCAGCTCAACTGCTCGGTCCCAGTAGAAAGCCTCTGCGAAGACCTTTGTACCCAGTGACACCTCTCCCACCGTCACCTTGTGGCCTTCCACCAGTCCTCCCCTTGAGAAAGCGGCAGGTCTGGCTCGTACCGTCGATCTCGCCTCCCTTCTACTGCAGCTGCTGGGCGCCTCTTTAGGGCCATCCACTCACCTCCAAACCTCCTTCTTGTGGGCCAAGAAAGCTTTGAAGGAGCATTGGGCTTCGACCTTCTTCACACCTTTGTTTTTCCAGTCGGTATACTGTCCTTGGCCACCTCGTCCGTGTGCTCGGATCGGTCCCTTCCAATGTGAGGGCGAGTGGGGCCTCAACTGTGCTGGTGGATCTCCCGCGGGCGTTGAGACGGCCTGGGTGTGGCCTTGATGGAGACGCGGCTCCTCCTGGATTTCGATGGCTGTTGTCCTCCTCCACACTGGGGCTCCTTCTCCTCCTTTTTCGGGAACGGCTTCTTGTCCTTCTCCTCCTCTTTTGCTTCTTCTCGGAGTGAGGAGCGCGGTCCTCCTCGCACTCCCATTCACCCTCGGCACTCCTCCTCGGCTCTTCGTCTTGAATCCCTTCTCGGCAACGGCTCCTTGCTTATTGACTTGTTTGATGCGAGACTCTTGGGAGCTGTAGACGGATGTTCTGTACTTTCTGGCCTATCTTGATGCTCTTCTCTTCTGTACTGAGGCTCTGATTCTTCTTCTCTCTCCTCGCTTTCCTCCTTCTTTACCCTGTTGCTTTCTTCCCTTGGTGACCCTCACGCCTCTGCTGCTTTCTCTTGGTGTCCAGGCTCTCTCTCCTTCTCCTCGAAAACCTGATGGCTCCCGTACACCGGGGGTGAGCACCGCCCCGGTACCTGTATCATGCCTCCGCAAATCGATGAAATCGCAGAGCTCGCCAGCCAATATGCGCAATCTCTCGGCGGCGAAGTTGAGATACCCTGGCTCGCGGGTGAAGTCTGCTAATGTGGTCCTCTGATTTATAAATTATATAAAATTCTGCTAGAATAATGACTTTTTTCCTGCACAGATTTATAAAGGCCCCCAGAATAATATCTTTTTTTGCAGGGATAGTTGTAGTGGAATATTTCTTATTGTTATAGTTTACTTTTTCCCTTTTGAGTTTGCTGGGGTTTCAAGCTTAAAAAAAAGTTGCTTTAAGTAAACTTGTACTCATTCCCTTTCTTTTCCTTTTGATTTGCTTTACTTACCTAAGCTCTTGAAAAGTTGAAGATTTCCATTGAGATTGGATGCTTTTCAAGGTCTTTGGATTGAGATTTCCATTAAAATATTGAGATTTCCATTTCCACTTTATTGATTTCCCTTTACTTTAGTATTCCAAGTGTCTTCAATTTGAGATTTCATTGATTCCCTTTTTTTATATTGCCAGAGAAGACCAAGAAGATTTTAATAATGATTCTTTTCATTTTGGTCCTTTGGTTAGTTTTCTTATACATTATATTGGAGGCCCTGGTTGTTGAGGCGGGGGGAGTTTATAAATCAAGAGACTACATTATGCAGTGGCAGACCCTATCAAGTGTGAGACACACGCCACACCTACACGGCGCGGCGTGGCCCCACATCACCTTTGAGCCGGAGCTATCCGGGGTGGACATGTTGCCGACATCACCTTCACTTCCGGGGCCGTCAAAGCATAGGCGACATTTTGCCCACCCATTTTTCCCCTCTCCCCAAGCAGGATCTGGGTTTCTTTACGTACCCCCACACACCCCTCACTTCGTTCGCCTAAACTTAAACAGAACATCAGCCTAACCTATCGGCTGGCTTTCGAAAAAACAAGGAAAGAAAAGAAAGAACATATCTGTTTAAAGAAGAATGTAAATGCGGTGAAAAAGTAGTCAGTAGTCCAAATTGTAAGGGCTCCGCCCGGGTGCCGCCGACCCCTTTTCATCTCGAGGGTTTGGCGGTTGAACCTTGACAACTTCCTGGGATTCAACAGCGAGACTTGGATGGGCTTCACACCAATGCTGGCATTCAAACAGCTGCCGAGAAGAGGGCAAGGCTGCGGTGAGGCTCTGGGGAGCCTTTGAAGCCGAGCCAAAATGCCTAACGTTGCCTTCGGAAGCCCATAAGAAGAGAGGAGGCAGGCTTCGAACAGGCCACAGAGAGGCCGCAAGAGGCCTGCCGGCTGCCGAGAGGCTTTTGAAGCCGGTCCAAAATGCTTAACGTTGCCTTCGGAAGCCCATAAGAAGAGAGGAGGCAGGCTTCGGACAGGCCACAGAGAGGCCGCAAGAGGCCAGCCGGCTGCCGAGAGGCTTTTGAAGCCGGTCCAAAATGCCTAACGTCGCTTTCGGAAGCCCATAAGAAGAGAAGAGGCAGGCCTGCCAGCTGCCGAGAAGAGGGCAAGGCTGCGGTGAGGCTCTGGGGAGCGTTTGAAGCCGAGCCAAAATGCCTAACGTTGCCTTCGGAAGCCCAATAAGAAGAGAAGAGGCAGGCCTGCCAGCTGCCGAGAAGAGGGC